GGTTGCTTTTCTGCCTTGTAAAACTTGACGAGGTCCTGGTTAGCCAGTGGCCGAGTGGGAAGATGGCGTAGCCTCAATTTCTGCTTTTCCTGCTGTCATCCATGGTGAAAGTGAGATGAGGGCAACGTTCATATGGATTGAATTATTTCTGTCAGTCTGGTGTCCCACGTGGCTTGGATTGCAGGTGTCTGTTTAACTAACACAGGGAAAGTTTGGCATTGCTCTGAAAAAAACTAATTCTTGTATTAGCCTAAGTTCTAGCTGGCCTGGGTAGCAACTGGATTCTGGTGTTGCTGCTGGCTGTTACAAGAGGAGGAACGGAGTACGGAGACAGACCTTAATCTTTCCTCAGCTTGCCAGGACAGCTTGTAATAGGTAAGAAAAGAGGTGGCGGCTCCAGCTAACCTCTCAGTTTCTGTTCTGTGAAGGATAATGTCATACTGAAACTCAGCCAACTCGATAAGGCTGGAGGTCAAGTGTTTGCTCCCCTTAAAGAAATGTTGAGCTCTGAAAAGTTGTAAGGACCTTCCACCCAGTAATGCTGGAAATATTTGAGTTTTTTGCAAACAGGATTCAACCCTTCCTGTGCTGTGCTTTAATTTCTGATTCTGTTTCTACCAACTCTATTGCCCCAAAAGGGTAATTAGGAAACAGATGGGTTTCATCTCCTTTTTTGCTATGATTTACCATCTATGCTACAAATTCAGAGGGCTTAGGTGGTGAAAGGAAGAACATCCATCATCTGGCTTTAAATAAGTGTTGAGATGTTTACAACTTGCTACAGGGATTCCTTGGGAAGGACAGCAAGCTGCCGGGCGTGCAGCCATATGGCACAAAGAGAAGAGTTGCCTGTTGCAGGCAGGATTTGGCCGTTCCTTTCCTCTGCTCTGAGGGGAGGGGAAAGCCTATGGCTCGTTCCTAACCCCAGTCTAGTCCTCGTGCCAACCCAGTGAGGATTGCCTATCCACTGGGCTGTTAGCGATAGGTAAAAGAGGAACAGAGTAGCTTGGCGGGATGGTGCCAGCGGGGTTTTCACTGAGGTGGAAGTGTCTTGGTGAAGACTTCAAAGACCAGTGCCTGCTGTGCAGCTTAATCCCATTAGGCTTTAAGATCAGAGCGTCAGCAGCCCCATTTTGTGAAAGGTTGAATGTTGTTAGTCTTTTAAAGTACATGTGTTGGATAAAAGCTTTTCTGGCTCAGGTAGGGACCTCTCTAATGAGCACATGGAACCCGATTAGATGTAGGGAAGAGCTAAACGCTGAGCTGGGACTACCATTGCAGCTCTGAGTAGATGCAGAAAGGCGACTTCAGGAGTTAGAGCAATTTCCAAGAAGAAGAGAGAAGTATCCTGGGAAATGTGTGTGCTCCAGGCTCAGTGTCTACTTGAGAAAGGAATTCAGGAGTTCAGTTTTAGGTGCTTGAATTTCACTTCAACACCTTTATTTTGCTCTGTCCTTTAACCCAGTCTAAGGGAACTAGTGCCTGGTTCCCTGCTGCGGTAGCCAGCCACTGGCAGCAGTAGCCTCTCTCTGATTTAGCTGTGTGTGCTGATGTAGATCTGGTGCTGTGCAGCACACACATTCATTCTTCTGGCTCATTTTGGCACATCGCATGCAGCTTTTTGCTGTTTTATTGCAGAATCTGGTTGTCACAATGCTGGGATATGGGCAGAAATGTCGGTGGTGCTGTTTGGGGAGGTTCTGTAGCTCTGGGAGGTGGAGAACTTGTTAAAGCAGGTTCTGGGTGCTTTGGAAATGGCCTTGGTTTCTGACAGACCACCTGTGCTTTGTGCACCTCATCTGACAGAGTGGAGATTGAGTTGATGCTATAGCAATTTCCTTCTGGTTTTGTTTCTGTTGTTGTTTGGGGTTTTTTTTTTTTTTGTTTTTTTTTTTTTTTTAATCTATGAGAGGTTGGGGAGCTGTAGGCAGGAGCAGCACGGGGTTTGGAAAACAGCCTGTCATGAGTCTGTACTCTGGTTGAGGCTGAAATTTCCAGTACATGACGGTTGGTTTGTGAGCATGGGTGGGTGTCTGAGGCTTGGGTTCTTGTGCTCTCAGTTCACTGACAGTATAAAGCCCCTCAAGCGGGATGTCCTGAGAAGCTGACCATGCCCACAAACCAGAAGCTTAGATTTTATAATGGTACGGGATTTGGTACCCATAACTTATATCCAGAGGTAAATTGTGTCCACAGCAAAGTGGCCACTGCAAAACAGGACTGGAGTTGCTGGTTGCAGCATGGTGAGATGAGGAGGGCAGGAACCCCTGGCCAGCTGAAGAGCTCCACCACGAATCACTGTTGGCGTGGCAGCCCCGAGTCAGCCCAGCTCTGGACAGTGAGGTTGTTCTTCCAGGAAGAGTTTGCCTGCTGCAGGTCAGTCTCGTACTTAAGTGAAGATCTGTGTGCTTAAGTGAAGATCTGTGTGCTTAAGTGAAGATCTGTGTGCTTAAGTCCCAGCAAAGGGCAGTGACAAGAGAAACTGAAGTCAGGACTTCTGCTGGGGGTGTCCTGCCTTGCTGCATGCAGGGTAGCAGCAAGAGCAAGATCAAAGTGCTCAGTGTTTTGCAATCACGGTAGGCTGGAGCTGTGGGAGTTGGTTATGAAGGCGTGAGCTGGCTGCAGCTTGATGTTAGCCACTGATGTTCTCGAACCCCAGCAGTAAGGCAGACTCTGCCACCAGCGTAAGTAGCAGGGGGGTTGTAGCAGCCTGGGTTTATTGGGTTTGGGGTGTTTATTGTTGTTTCTGAACTTTATTTTGGTTAATTATGGTATCGTCTCTGCCTCAAACAGAGGCTGAATGGGACACACCAAGTGGAGTGCTGTTCAGTCACCAAGTCTGCAGGGACACAGACAATCCCTTTGGGCTGACTCACACCGCAAGTGCTGAAAGTTCCCTGCCCCTCTCCTCAGACTCCTGAACCTGCACCTATAAAATAGGCCTAAAACTCCTTTCCTTTACCATCCCTGGTACTTTTTACCTCTTCCCTTAACACTGGTGATGTCGGCAAAATCCTGTGTCTGGTTTATGTGCAGGTTGGCACTGCCCCAGAAGCACTAATTCAGATGGAAGTGTCTAGGTGCTCCCATCACACTGCACCTTCTCTGCCAGCTGCTCCAGGAGGGGGAAGGGGGTAATAGTTACAGATTCTCAGTTATAAGGGGATAGCACACTGTCTGTTTACACAAACCCCAGGGGCTTGATCTGATCAGTCAAATAGCCTGAGTCTGCTAAACTGATGTCCAAAGGCTCCTCTGCACTTCCATGTAATTAAATTGCTGGGATGAAATAGTTTCTTCTACCATCCTGTGACTTTTCCTGTGTTTTTTTTGTAGCTGAGGTTTAAAGATTTGCCATCTCCCTCCCCCTGGAGCCTTTTCTCACTTCTCACCTACCTTCCTGGGGGTGGACGTGGGTTTTAATCATAGAAATTCACCTCAATGTAAAAATGGGTCTATTTTCTGCCCTCTGTATTTAGAATTTGCTGTAATATGTCTATAATGCCCAATAACTAGAGCTCTAGGGAAGAGTTTCTTTGCTCTGTGGCTGTCAGTGGGTTCATCCATGCAATGCTTTAGAGCCAGGGGTTTGCAGTGAGGAGGAGGAGGGGGAAGATGAAGCTGTTTATCTCAGCATCTCTTACCACATGCTCTTGCACTCAAGTACCTAGCAACCCACTGAGCATCACGTTTTCTTCACATGGCTGTACTCCAGAGTGTGGCTTGCAGTTCATTTGGGTGACTAGTTATGAGTTAAGCTTGCAGATCATAATTTAAAGAAATGTTTAAAAATAAGTTGAGTTTGGGCTCAGTTTGCTCACGAGTGAGGCGCTGTCTGAAGGCAGAGATGCTGAAACCAGCCATGGAATGTAATTTGCCGTGGCAGCAGCACAGACTGGGTGCAAGAGCTGTTTATCTGAATAATGACTTAATAGTGTCACTAATCTTTACATTTGGTACCAGTGCTGGTGATGAGGATTTCTGCAAGTTGGAAAAAAGGGGTAGCAGGAGTAACTGTCACACAGATCTGTTGGTGCAAGGTGTGAGGGCGCAGGTGTTAGAAACTGAACTTCAGGCTCCTTCTGCTGAGAAAGAATCCTCATTTTTTCCTCTCATTTCTTCCTAATTAAAGCAAGGTGAGAAGTTATGACAGGAAGAGGTGCTAATGGGGCCGTTTTTTCCACTGTGTTCTGGACAAATGACTTTAATCATTTTGCTGAGGTGTCTGTGGAAAGCGCTAACGGGACACCTGCCCCCGCCTTTGGGTGCTGGCTGTGCCTGTACTGGCCCTGCTGGGAAGGTTTGGTGGTGACAGTGCTGTTAAAATGACAGGCTATAAATAAGACAGCGGGAAGAGCTGCAGTTGTAGATAACAGCCGAGTGCCGAACTCCGTTCTGACAGCCTCAGCCCAGAGGTTAGGAGCAGAGCTCAGCTCGCTTAGAACAACACTACCATAGTAGGAAGCAGGCACAAGCAGTTCAGCCCTCTGTATTAATGCATCCTCCACCATCCTGTAGTTCAGCTGAACAATGGAATTCAAGCCCCTGTATTTTTAAACCTCGCACGGTTGTGTTTGAAGGGTCTCAGACATGTCACCTCATTTGGATAACGCGGCTTGCGAGCAGGGCACTGCTATCACAGCCTGGAGGTTAAGAGGCATTGCAGTTAATTTAAAACACGTTACTGAAGTTGGCTAAAGTGGTGTATTTAGAGAGGCTTCCCTTCATATTCCTCCAAAGCTTAGTTTTTAGGGCCTTTGGAGCAGAGTGTTACAGACACTTGGAGCTTTTACCCCTGGAGTGCTTCAGTGCAGAGCAGCCCCTGGTCTGGGGAGTGGAACAAGCCCTAAGTGACAGCAGCGCTTCCCACAGGTGCCTTGGGCCTGAGCTTCACCCCAAACACAGCTGGTTCATCTTCTTCCTAGCCAAGGGAGAAGAGACTAGCAGCTGTATCAGGTTGGGGCAATTTAAAAAATAGAAAAGGACAAAAAAGAAAGATGTAGTTGGGAAAGAAATGTTTATTTTAAGTTTCTCAGAGGGATTTTACAAACAATGGAGCATTTTAAAAAAATTGAGTGATCAAAGTACTTAACAGTGTCCCTTAAACACACACACAAGCCCCTGGACAGAGGAAATCACACCAGTGAGGAGGTCAATACTGCCGGAGGAGCAGCTGGCATCTGCATAGTTCTAGGAGGAAAGATTGCAATGGTGTTGGTGCTAGTAAGTGTCATCCTGGCATTAATATAAGAGAGCGCTGAAGTATGTACGCATGTACCTGCAGAAAACAAAGTGCATAAAATAACACGCAAAGTATGTATTGTAGAATAAATTTATTTACCTGATACAAATGAAACTAGGTGTGACGCTTCTTACTGTCAGCATGTAAATAGACAATTGATCTTATTTACAACTTCTAAAGGTCACACATGCAGTTGTGGTAACTGGCTAAGTCAGTCATCGCTGTTTAGAAATGCATCACAACATTTTGTATTGCACCAACATCTGTCTTACTGCCTTAGATTTAAATAAGTTACATTACAGTGCAAAAGAGGTTGATTTGCACACATGATAAAAAAATCCAAAGTTATGAACTGGAGGCTTACGGTTTAACATTCATCTGTAATCTTTTCAATGAATTTTATAAATAGCATAGCATTGTACATAAGCTGTTATAGAGTAGTATGTTTGGATGATACAATACAGAGAAAGATTTGTCTACAACCCAAGGCATGCATTATTTTGATATTGTACATTGTATAAACTGACATTTTACATACAGAAATATGGAAAATTGGCTGACAGCTCCACAATTCTTGTTCAAGGATAAACAAACTCTTCTCCATGCAGCACAGAACCCAAACTCCTCTGGAGAGAGTTTCCAATTCGGTAAGCTATATTGCACGTTTGTACATCTGTATAATGAAGTCCTAATGGTACCACACATTTCTTCCACAGAGAACACAATGAGTTTTGTTTTAGGGAAAGCAAAGAATCTTTACACATGATACATGCAGAAGTTTTGGAAGATGTGTTGCTAAAAACACATGCACGCAACAAAACAACCTTACATTTCTGCAAAATTGTTTAGGAAGCGATTACTCCAGTATTGCTGAAAAGGAAAGAAAGAAAAGGCATCAGTTAATGAAAGGATGAATGCTAAGTATCATTATACAAGCAAGACTAAGATCAACAGTGACAGAAGAAAGAACGTTAAGTTTGGTAACTGGCTGCTCTGGCATTGAAGGGACACTCTCAGGTTACTTTGTTCTTAAAGCCCAGAACCCTCTGGATTATGGCTCAGCTCCTCTGAATGCAGCAGAGCTCCCTTTATCACCAGCAAAGCCAGCACTTCCTACAGAAGCCTGCTGCGAAGAAGAATTAAGACATGTTTAGATGGCTGTCGCCACTGGCCAGGCAGAAAGGCGAAGGCTAAGCCTCCCATCTTTGTAATCTTTACTTTCAAGTTCCATGCTACACGGTTTGAGCTCAAGTAAGATGCAGCATTTTGCAAGTTTGGCCCTGAAGCGACCTAACAATGTCCCTTTTCCAAGTTATGCCACTTATTTTGGGAAGCAGTAGGAAAGCTTTGAAGGAGTCATTCAACTACACGGATAAACGCGTAGGCGAAGGGTAGAGTACAATGAATAAAGCTACTGCTGTACTTTACCCCTAAAATACAGCGTAAGGTTAGCCTTGCGACTAGGAGAGAACAGTGTACTCTGAGTCCCTAGAACTTGATGGTGGCTCTTCAAAATGCTGCTTCAACACTATAAAATTTAGGCTCTCCTGCTAAGATTTGAAAATGCATATTAATGTAATTAAGGATGTAATTAGCAGAGATTAGGGAAACAGTTAATGGTTAGAAGTGCAAAAAAGTAAACAAGACAGGTGCAAGAGACAGACAACTTTGTATCAGTTTTACCTCCCTTTATCTCAGGAAATTCAACCATCTTTAGCTGTTTACCATGTACATTCTGTGCATCCGCTGTGTTCCCAGAACAGTGACAGGGGACTGCTGTACTGCATTTTATCATCAGATTAAAAACTCATTTTCTGACCATTAGCCTTCTCCAAAATCATCTCCCTACAAACATAAGCCTCCTAGCATTCTGACAGACTTGGTATATTTTTCTGCAGCCTCTTTCATACTTACTTATTTGCAATAATATGTTGGGAAACCAAGTATGAACTATTTTTATTGCTTGGATGCCAGCAAAAGGAGCAGCTCATTGTGTAGCTCACAAACAGTACTTTGAATCACTCACATTTGAAGGCAGAGAGGGCCTGAGGCACGATGAAGATAAAAGCCCTTGTCTAATTATCTGACAGGACTGCAGCTGCCTGACCATTTTCTTTGCTCTGATTTGGACCAGGCTACAGACATGGAATTGAGGAGGAGCTGCTCCCAAACCAAACCCCACTGGGTTCCCAGGATAAGCCAATATCCTTCCTGGTGCTCCCAGCATAAGGTAGCATCAATCACATGATTGATACTGCTCTTACACACACCTCTCACACTAGAAAACAAGTAGCAATATGTGAGGACATTAAGGAATCCAGAAAACAGTGGAGATGGAAAAGCTCAGTGAGATGAGAGCAAAGGGAAATAAAGAGTAGAAAGTTATTTTCTAAAAATGGAGTGGGAGGTAAAGCCTGAGTAACTTAATTTCTGCTTAAATAAGTAAGTGCTTCCACTTATATACTCACAGGGCTAACACATTAAAATAGGAGTTACCTATTTCTATCCCCAGATGACCCTAGTACAGTGAGGTGGTTGGAAAGAAAATACATAGGGAACAAAGAAGTTAAGCGAGAGTTTCAACTGAGATGTTGGTACGTCATTCTATCTGGAATTGGAAATTCCTCCCTTCTTGGCTTCTCTAGATGAAAGGACTGATAGCTACAGAATGACAGGATCTATGCAACTGAGGATAAGCATTTTAGTTAACACATTTGCTTGCAGTGCATTCCTAACCTCGCACTGTATTTCTATAGTTTCTATAATTGAAAAGCCAAGCCATCGGCTGCCTTATGCTATTCTAATGCCAGAAGCACACTGGAGTGATGTCCCAGAGCCTACTCAACCGAGAAGGGTTAAGACCAAATCCACAGCACTCCGGCTCCAAGATGAGAAGGAAGCTTGCAGCCATGATTTCAGGGCAGGGCGCTTCACTGCTGAGGAAGAAGCTCATGGTAGGTCTTAACATTTGGCCAGTCCAGACCACGCAAAGCTGGTATTTACCATGTGGCAGCCACACTTGGAAAACACAAGTACTGAAAGCACAGCTACAGCTGCCAGTGAACCCGAGATAAGTGCTGATCTGAGGAAACCCTCTTGCTCTGTTTCTACAGGAAAATTTGGACAGCAAGACTGGGAGAAATTAAAAAAAACGAGGGTTAAGATTTCTTGGGCTCTTTAGGAGCACCTTACAAAACCTGACTGCTCCTGTGACCTCAGGAGCTGGTAGGGAGGAGTGCCACTCCATCTGCCCACCAGTCACCCACCTTTCAAAGGCAAACTCCAGGGAACACAAGGCCCTAATGCCAGCATCCCTGAGACACGCAGCATGAGGGAGCATTCAGATGGCAGCATGGAAATCCATGACACAAGCAGTGAGATTCATCTTCAACACAGAGAGATCCAACAAAGAAGTTGTTGAAGACTGAGTACTACTTATTGACATTTTCCCCTTGAGCTTCTTAGAGACAGGGGAAAAGGGGTTGTATAGCACAATTATTTGGCATAATAGACAGGAAGAGGATTGTGTAAGAAGCAGAATTGTCCATGGTGACAGTCAGACACATGGCTTTAAAAAGCCCATGAACATGGTGCTCTAGAGGTTCACACAGAACCAGTGTTCAAAGATTCAGTGGCGTTCCTGCCCTGGAAAACGTTTGTCAGTAATGTTGGGAGCACACAGAACTAACTTGGTGGTGTTTCCAACAAATAACATACTTGTACATACTTTGATCTTGAGGAATCCGAAATCACGACCTATTATTTTTCTGGTTCAAGAAACAGGGACAAGGCTCATACTGCTCATTTATTATGCACACAGCAAATGGCTGGTGCTGGCCACTGGCTTTGTGGTAAGCCAAACCTTAGTTTGCCAAAGACAGGTTCTCCCACACTAAAGAGGGCATTCGACAGGTTTTAAATGTTTAGTTTGGCAACACACCTACTACATCATCAGGTCCAGCTCCTCTGAATCACTTCAGCATCAACTTGGACAAGTCAAAGTCTATATAATCAGTGAGAATTCACAGAGGAATCAGAAAGCTGTTTGAATTTGGTTATTAAAGCAGCCTGAGCCAGCACAAGGTAACACAGGAACTGCTACTCTACAAAGACGTAACGACCCCAGTACGATTTTCAAAGACTATCCTGTTAAGCTGAGACTGTTCTTTTGTCTCTTCCTATGACCACTCTTCAAAGCACTTCGACTTATTGGAAACAATAAGCTGTTTTTGCAAAGAGGAACGCCTGCACTTTGAGCACTGAAGATACCAGAGACCAGGGAAGGATGGTCAGCTCCAAAGGGCATCTTCTCTTTCAGAGCAGGAAAAAGCTTTGGAGTAAACCAGCACCTGACCACACGTACCAGAGCGTTTTAGACACTAAACGTTCACGTGAACAACTGTCACTGTCTTAAGTTACAGATTTGTCCAATTTTATCTCAAACTTAAGACCAAAAGCTGCAAGACCTTGGGGCACTAAGGCTCCTGGGTGCTACAAAACAAGACCTAAAATACACTAAACCAAAAGCAAGTGCTTTGCCTTTGAAATCAGTAATTTGAGCTTCAGACCACAAAACAAAGAGTCTAAAGTGGTGATAATAATGTAGCACAGCAGAGTTTGACAAAACACAGCATGGGAATGAAGGAAATTACTATTTATTCTTCAACATGTATACAGCATATGCTATTTTACAGCAAGTCACCACTGGCATGGTGAAATGGAAGAGAAATACTCACTTTAGTCGATGAAAGTTGGAAGGCATTGGAGAAAAACACCACAGTTAGGACTGTTAATGACTTACACATTGTTGATACAGGACTGAATTTGAAAACATGCTTTAACATTTACCGTAATAATGAAGGTGGTTAGTGCCACATCAAAATAAAAATAGTTCTATACAATATGTTCAATTTGGTCATGTGCTATTTACAGATTTTACAAAAAACACACACGAGCTTGTTACTTCAAGTCAGGCTAACAACAGGCCAGCAGAGTAACTCCATGTATACAACTGATCATTAGTGCCCTAAGTGTAGGAAATCCAATTTCTAGTTATGCAGTGCAAGTTATTTTTCCAGGTCTCATTACAACTTTTGATTTTAAGGGGTGGGGAGGGGGAGGGGGGAGAAAAAGAAAGGCTCTGACACATGTAAATTAGGTATTAAAATCCAACTTAAACCCTCTTTTGAATTAAAACAGATCGTGTTTGTTAGAAGGGCTTGTTTTACATTTAAGTAGACAGTAGTCGTCCTCCCTATCCCTGCTTAATGGGCAACACTGGCAAAATAATGTCTGTTACAATAAAATACAATAGACACTTAAATAAATAATCTTAAAAAAACAACCCTATGTGTGTTGAGAGTATGGAAGAACCCCAGCAGGCTGCACCTGGAATGATATTTTCTGCACGAGCAAGATTAGGCATACCTCATACAGAAACTGGTGTAAACAAGGACAGTCAAGAACCAAGAGTGAGGTTACAGGAAGAGGGGAAACCAAGAAGAAATCCTGACTGAGGTAGCAGTACTCTCTACCCAGTGCAGAAAGTTCTGTTTATGAATAAAACCTGACTTTATGACAAATTAAGTTTGGATGATCATGCAGAAGACAAACAGTTACATGCTTTTTTAGTTTTAGACAACACACATTCATTCCCTAAAATCTGCTGCCAATTTAGTTTGATAGTGTCCGCTGGCTCAAAAAAAATTTACTTTTTTTACATGATGAATAGACTATTGAACAGAACACTGTACATGCTTTTCATCTACAAAAAAATATTTGCATAAAATAGTGTTAGTTCTCTGTACATGTCAATGGACACTTTAACTGTGTATAAAAGAGGAATATATTGCCCCCACTGAAGTCAGAAAAAGCAAAAAACCAAAATCTAGATTATGAAACCTCCATCACCGGCAAATATGTTCATGTGAAAATTCAGCAGAAATAGACAGTTGCTCTAAACAATAAAAAAAATTAAGTTAAACTTTTTCTTTGAATGTAAAACTTGTCACCATGTCAGTCAAGACCAAAACATATCGCTAAAGTTAGTGTCTGTGCTGTAAAGCCAGATAACCAAGGGCATAGTAATGAACACAAACGGCCAGGAAACTCCTTCGGTGCATGCTGACAAAGAACATGGTTTGGTGGCAGGCCGCACACTATCTTTACCAGGTTCCAGGTAGTTACGGGCCACATATTTAAGTGTTTCATCCAGCAGAATGACAGGTAGGGAGATTTTCAATACCATCAACCATTGCGTCACATTCAAAGGCGTGATCTGGAAGATAATCTGAAAGGAAAGCCAAGCATTACATCCTTTCTCCCCCTCCATCCCTTGACTTAAGCTCTAGACAAGTTTTGGCTCTATCTCCCAGTGCAGGGATGGGTGTAAGATACGTGCACTTACTGGCAATGGTTCCACATAAAGGATAAGGAAGTGGAGTGACATGGACAAGCAAATAGCGCCCACCAGCCAGATATTTTCCCACGGGGGCATCCTCATCAAGGACTGATTTTCTGACAGACTGCAAGAGAAACATGGTACATGTGTACATTAGACACCAATAGGAAATTCAGTAAGTCAGAAAACGAGCTGGAAAGAAAAGCAGTGGGGCAAATCACCATTATCCCAGTCACAAAGGAAAGGAGGATACCAAGATACAGTTCATATATATGTTGCAACTTTAAAACTACCTTGGAATTCTACTTAGCAAAGCAGTCACAGTTCAGCCTCACATCTATTTTTGAAAGCTTTTGTGTGTTCTGCTCATTCCTGATCCAGTCTACCTTTTTTGCCAAGACCCCAACATCCTCTCCATGGGAGGGGTAAGGGAAAGACGGGCATGGCAGCGTAAGGCAGAATCCTCCCCCGGCTGCTGTGTGCCTGGGGACCTGCTGCACCCGCTTCTGAAGTTCACTTGGAGACTGGATATACAGAGGCTCAAGCACTTGCACTTTCTTAATGTTCATTCTTTAATTCTGCTCTTCAGAGTCAATCTGCATTCAGGCTATGCTGCAGAAGAGGCCAAGATCCAGAACATCAGATGTGGAGCAATATCTTACTATGTAGGACTGCTGCAGTACACTTGTATTTGAAGTTTATTTGTTTTTAAATTAACTGACCTCTAAGCTATTTGAAGAAAAATACCCTTGACATTGTGCTATTTAGTGGTTTCCATTTATAATCTAATATTAATTGGCTAAACCCACACTCCCTTAGGGCAAGGAAAACTATTTTCCATATCTTCAACATTCTTATTTTAGTTCTCCTTGATATCACTTTATACCAACATAGGAGGTATAATCTGATTGATTAATCTTAGATTAGAAATAATGGAAAATATTTCAGTTGCTCATGCTTAGTACAATACCAGAGTGAATTGGCAGACTTAAAAATATACCTTATGATAAGAGATCTCAAACGTTATCTAAGAGTCATTTTGTTTGCACTGCCAGGATTCAGAAAGGAAGTATGACTCATTCTTCATGAGTTGAGCTGTCCATACACTAAGAATCAAATTGCACAAAAAGTAGGATTTTGGATAAGCTGTGCAGAAACTTTGCCTTCCTGTTTGGACATACGAACCTGTTGAGAGCATTGCACATCTCTATGGTGACAAGTACAGAAAGAGCCATTGTCATTGGATATGGAGACTCAAAAACCACACAGTCGACACCAGAGAAGTCTGGATTGTCCTCTTTGCACTGCAGAAAATGGCTCTAGAACAGAACAATGTGAACTCACTTCCACAGCTCATTAATGTTTAAAATGTAAAACAGGCAATTATGAAATAAGCAGTGAGTATTATGAAAGCAAAACTTTATAATACGACTCCTGTAAGCACTGATTTTAAAATTTTGCCAGCTTTAGAAAAATCCCCATTACTCTTTTTACTTACAAGACAGCAATTAGTCCTTCCAATTATTTAGAAGCTCAGGTATCCCACCTCTGAGCTTTAGAATTAAGGCTAATTAATCATGATCAAGTCTGAAAATGTCTCATTATATAAATTTCTGTAACCTACTATTTTTCTACAGTCATTTCAAGTAGCAGTATGAAAGAAGCATGTACCTCCCCCTCCCCTCAAAGATATTAAACTGAACAAATACCAGCTGGTAAAAGGTAACTCTTGGACCACCATCAGCAGCGATAAACCACCAAGCAGCAGCACCCACTGTGGCAGCACCAACATAACCTTAAAGTAAACAAAAGCGCTTTTTTCAGTGCTATGAACTGTATGCAAGATCTCACTTGCCACACTTGAACTTCTACCTCAAGACCTCCAGTAATGTAAAAAAAAAAAAAGATTGTAATTCATCTATCTTCTGTGCAAGAAATCTGCTCAACCAGTTGTAACTTAAATAACCATTAAATATTGTACTGTCAGACAGATTCTAATATCTGCTTATGAAAGTTGACAGCTAGAACTTAAGGCAAACAAGAGTATCACTTGGAGTCATCAACCTGTGATTTTAATTTTCCCTTACAGAATCCAATGTGACTGTACTTACATTAACTAATACTGCCAGTATGGCAGTTATAACATTTCTAATAGTTTCCTAGTTGTCAAAATAAAAAGATTGTAATGAAGCAGTGAATGTCTTACTGATGTTATGCAGCTAGGACTTTTGATGCCTCAGTTGTTACCAATGGGGGGTGTGTGGGGGGTAATCACAACTTTACTGTTCCTGTGACAGCACTGCCCGAAAAGGTGCAAAATAAGGTGTGAATCTTGAAACAAAATAAAGGAATAAAAGGAATACCACCAGTTCCACAGAACATCTATTGCTAGCTCTCAATATTTCAGCATACAAGGAGTTTAGACAAACTGCTTTCAAGTGGATCTCAAAAAAAAAAGTTACCTGCCTAAGTTTAACTTGGAAAAGAAAAAAAAAAGCTATTACTACTTACATCCAATAGCTAGGTAACGGAAGAAGAGCCATCCACTGATCAGTGGCTCTTTAGGGTTGCGTGGTGGCTTATTCATGATATCAAGATCAGGAGGATTAAAGCCCAGAGCAGTAGCAGGGAGACCATCCGTCACAAGGTTTACCCATAACAGCTGGACAGGAATTAGAGCTTCAGGAAAACCCAGGGCAGCAGTCAAGAAGATACTATAAAAAAACCCACCAATTATAAGCTTATTCTTGTGCATGTAAATAAGTCCTTTTCATGCTTAAACCTCAGCCTGTAGCATCACTTCTGTTCTCTCGTACAGAGTTATCCATTTAGTATCACAAGCTGAATATTCATATTCAGAAAACTAAAAACATTTTCAAGAGCAAACACTTCTAACCACCGGTATTTAAGTTCTAAAGCATTATCATTTTCTGGTAACTTCAGGAATTGAAGAGTTTCTGCTTTAGCCTTGTTTTTTCCTCACTCTACTTATCTCTATAGGTAAATACATACATACATGTATAAAACCTTGCAAGCCAGTTTCTAAAAGACACTAAAACTTCTGCAGACATAATAGCATTTTAGCTCAAATGACTAAGCTTCATTTTTCTAGATTACTGTTTGTCCCTACAAAAATCTAAAGAGCATGCAGCTTTCATGGCTCCAAGCCTGTGTAAATAAATAAACAGGAACAGGGGCTGCAGCAAGAGCATGACGAAGGACAGCTTTAAAGTTCACAAGAAACAAGGCAAGACAACTGCTGTGTTATATTCCACTCTGGGAGAAAGTATGCTTTGATATAAGCAACTGTTAGGAGATCAATATTTACATTCTGTCACCAAAAATGCATTCTGTGGCATTGGGTCACCATTCCCAAAGATACAGAAGACACATTCTTCTGTAATTTGAGGTTAAACAAACATCTAAGTTATACATGTGACTAAGTTATCTGAAATACTAGATGCTGTAATATTTGATCAAGGTTTATGTTTTCCTATTCTAGAGAATTATTCTGATAATAGAAATAATTTTAGTCACCTACTGAGCTAGAATATTGTATGCAATGCAATGTGAATCTTTTGTGGTATGCTAAAATTCTCCAGTAAAGACTAGGCTAGGAGCATGCATACTTCCACACACATTGTAATCAATTAGCTGGCAAACCTGTTTCTCTGGTTTTATTGAGAAATACTGAAAGTAAATAAACAACTAAAAGTCTCCCATCATCACTACGCTAGTTCAAAGGAAAAAAGTAAATTTTAAACCTACCAAACAACTTCTCCAACATTGGAGGAGATCAAGTAGCGGATGAACTGTTTCATGTTGTTATAAATTGCACGTCCTTCTTCCACAGCAGCTACAATAGTTGAGAAATTATCATCGGCTAAAACCATTTCAGAAGCAGTTTTAGCCACTGCAGTACCAGAACCCATAGCAATTCCAATTTCTGCTTTCTTCAATGCTGGGGCATCATTGACACCATCACCAGTCTGAAATAACAATTTGAAGTTTAAAAAAAAAAAAAAAAAGGGTGGGCATTGGGCATTTACATATAGGACCAGAAAGGATTTTTGCATTGGGTATGGTTTTGAATCTTTATCAAAATAAAATAAAACTAAAAAAAAAACCAAAAAAATTTAAAAAAACACTGAAGTGCAGAACTATTAAATGGCTTTGAGTTCAGGGTAACACAGAAGCAAGCATTTTCCAGAATGAAGCATTACTCTAAAAAGGCATCATTTGGGTTTAAACAGTGTGTGCTTTTTAAACCAAATGAAAGTTCAATTACTTACCATAGCTGTAATCTCATCAAAAGACTGAAGAAACTCAACAATTTTAGATTTGTGGGAAGGCTCTACACGAGCAAAGCAACGGGCATGGTGGCAAGCATCTCTCTGGGCAGCAAGTGAGAGTTCATCAAATTCACGACCAGTAAAGGCTTTTGTAGAAACATCTTCATCTTCCACAAAGATACCGATGCGACGGCAAATAGCTACTGCTGTGCCTTTATTATCACCAGTAATCATAATAACCCGAATACCAGCTTGTTTGCATAGCTTTATAGATGAAGCTACTTCAATTCTTGGGGGATCCAGCATGCCCACACAGCCAACAAAGGTCAAGTTGGTCTGAAACAAGACAGCACCAAGTTTTAGTGCAAGATCTTGTACACTTCTCCTCTGACATTAGCAAAACAATCATGTTGCTTGCACGCTAAGTATCTCTCAGCATAGCGACATTTGTTTTTACTCCCTGTTCACAATACTCTGTGGTTCTACACTGAGCAAATAAGACAGAGACCTGTGTCATCCTGCCATTTGGTCAAAACCAGTGTTTTACGAGTGATATACTTGCTCTTATGTCAGGGTTTGTTTTTTTTTTTTTTTCTTCTGAAAGGGTTACTTCAGAGAGGTTATCTGTTTCATCATATTAAGTCTTGACAGCACTCTAGCTCTGACACTGAATTCAGACGCCTAGAAATGAACTGAAAATTCAAGCCTATATGCACACTAACAAGTGAAAAAAAGGTAAATAAGGATTTAATGCTTTTGGAATCACAATGCTACATGGTACCATCTACATGATGACCATATGGGAGGGCACAATTAATTCCCAGAGCACAACCACACTCTGAAATGGAATCCTACCTTTACAAACATATCTTGCTTCAAATGCACTAGTTTTATTAGCTAAAGCATGCCCTAGTTGTCAGCCTTGCAAATTCAACCTGCAAGCAGTCAAGTCTTTCTTTTCTGTAACCAGTGCCAGAAGCACAGAGTACAAGCCAAAAACTCTCACGCAACTGTTGTCATTTCCCCCTCTAAACCCGAGACACAGGTTTCATTTGAAAAATTACAGAGCAGCTACGTTGACTAATAATCATGGATTGAGCTTTTGCAGCTGACAGTATGGAGTCAGGGAAGTGAACCTGACTCTCAGAGCACAAAATGGCAGGTGTATTTCATCACAAAATCCCCAAAGAAGTCTTGCAGTTGAGCAATATCAAACTGAAAACCACTAAAGCTGAAACCACAATGAAATTTTTGGAGTCTCTCAGTCAGTCTCCAAGAACATTTTAAGGTGTTATGATCCTGAGGACCTTATGTATATACATAAAAAAAGTTGCAGCTAGCTGTTTAACTGATTTCTTCTTATACTTTTAGCCAAGCAGCAGCATGTATACCAGCCATTAAGAACACAGTTTCTTCAGGCACGTATAGTCTCCTCTTAAACTGAGCATTCCCTCCATACATGTGGCTAGCTATTGTGTCTGACACCAAAAATACCCAGAAAGAGGAAATTCTCAGTATTTCCTCATGAAATAATCAAACATAAGGAGTCACTCTTTTCCAGTTTGGGACAGGAAAAAGCATTAAAAGGACATTTTACTAAACTTACCTCATAGTTAATGAAATTCGAGGAGTCCTCAAGATTCATTTCCTCTTTTCTGGGTGGATTGTCGTGGGTTGCCAGAGCCAAGCAACGCAATGTGTCTCTACCAGTTCCCCATTCTCTAATGACAGACATTATTTTCTGCTTAATGCCTGGGGTTAATGGTATTTTAGCACTTCCCACACGTACATGCGTACATCTGTCAATTACACCTTCGGGAGCACCCTGCAGAGGCAAAGGAGTAATTTAGCTTAATAAACCCCTTTCCGTTACAATATTTGCTCAAATTACAAGACCTTCCTTCCTCTTCAAGCTGCGTTTGGTTGTGCCATTTAGTACTGTGCTACCTTTGCAGCCATTCCATAACTACACTTTCTCAAGTGAGGAACTGACCTTAACAAACATTTTACTCATGGATGTGCGGCTTGGTTTGTTCGGTGTACAATAGACAGACATAGACTTTCTGTCTCTTGAGAATTCCAGAGTGAATTCTTTCTTCATGAGTTGTTTTATCACCTTATAAAAAAACAATAACAAAAAATGCATTTAGATAATACATACTACAAAGCTCACTCGCCAATGAATTCTAAATAAAGAGTACTGACCGAGTTGCAAGCATTTGCACGTTCAATTCTAGAAAGTCCTTTCAAGTCTGTGTCAAATACATTCATCTTTTCAACCAGACAGGTAAGTGCTGTTTCTGTGGCTTCACCAACTTTTTCATATACTCCCTTAGCCTTTAGTTAACACAAAGCAAACAAAAACACAGAAGTTTACTTTAAATCTCACCTGTAAACTACTAAAGACAAAAGTTCAAGTTTAACAACGGAAAAAAGCTTAATAAGACTTACTGTGCCTCATAAAAGTTGCAAAACTGTTTTTAAAAGCAGCTTTGGAGCATATGTTTTTAGGAAATTTTAACCCTTTACTCTCCAGACTAGAGAAGGATGTCAGTATTTTGTCATCAAGCATTTAAGTCATTATGAGGTGCAGAAACCTTAAGAAGGCGAGTCAAAGCAAGAAAGTAGCAGTGCATTCTACACACCAGATCTCCAAGTCCCAGGTTATGCTTGTTGCCTGGCTTTAGTCCTCTCAGTGTCCAACACACAAGTCACTCCCAGAGTTAATACACCAGACCACCTAAATACTCTCCCCCCTTGACTAGAAGGGGATTTACCACTGAAAGGTATTATACATAGACAGATGAGAAGAAACATTTATCCTCATTCTCACACTCTCCTCTGTTCTAGGATATGTACTTACTTCATTGTAATCCAAAGAGGAATCATTACAGAGCGCACAGATCGTTGCAAGTTCCACAAGGCCATCATACTGGCTACATTTAATAAGTTTGTCATCTTTATGCCTTTCCAAAGGAAGAGAAGGGGGAGATAAGTTAGTTATTTAGTATTAGCATCTTGCCTTTTCCCCTTCTTTAATCCCTTTCCTCTATTTCCATTTAGTACAATGCTTATTAGTTATGGACTTGGAACTATAGAACCAGAAATTGTTGACAAGAGCAGGTTTGATAAAGGTGAGTTCTGAAGTTCAGATCAAAGAGTCATGAACAGAATGACATGATTATCAATGATACCACTACCTGAATTACAAAAACCTTCTTTCCTCCAGTGACAGTCATCCAGCAACGCAGAAGAGAAGTAAAGAGCTCAGTGAAGAAGCATATGAAAGTAGTATTAGAGCATACACAGGACTTGGAGGGGAGCTCCAAGTAGGAGAGGGATAATGTTGGATTCCCTAGGAGTTTAGCTTCCTTAGCCTTACTGCATATTCTGCAGATTTACTGCCACACACAAAATGCATGTGCTGGACAGGCATAAAAGCAGAGTTGGCCTCTAGTTTCTTAAAAATTAATCTGTATTATATGTGAACCTCCTAAACCAATGAAAAACTAAGTCATTTCACAATACAAATTCCACTAGAAAATAAATACTCTTTTCTAGTAGTCATATACATTTAATGATGAATGTCTGCAGTCTTTAGAAAGAAGAAAGGTACATTTTCCTAAAGTAATGCACCATTTAGACATCACAAATAAGAAGCAACTTTGCTTTCACATTTGGAAACAGATAGTAAACAAATTAATTTTCTGGAACGTCACCGTGCTTCTAGAGTAAGCATAAAAGAACCAAGACAGTGTTCAATACTTATTTTCCCCTCTGCCAAAATTAGCAAGACATAACTCTCATATAACATCTTTCATGAAAGCTCTCAAGGAGGAAAAACAGTCTGGTGGTAGAAAGACATGGATCGCTACTCTGTTAGAATTCATAACATCGACTATGACACGTCCGATTATGTAAGCTTTTGTTCATCCTCTTGTAGTACCCACAAACAAATTCCAGTGTTGTATAACACAGCATGTGAACAAAATGCATCTTAAAAACACAAGTGTGTTTTTAAAGTTTCATGTTGCATATAATTCTATAATGATAAGCAGTGGCTTTAAACTCTCAACCCCTGTTTGTCACCTCATCTATCACAGCTAATATTTTCTGTTTTCACCTGTTCTGAACTTGAAAACTAGCATATTTGAACATCCATAACTTGTTATACCAGGGTGGTGGTTTGTTTTTTTTTTTTTTTTCCCTCTTGCCTGTGTGTTCCTTATCAACAATTTCTGAAGAATGGCAAGTGCACATGGAGTGTAAGTTGCTAGGGTCAGTTCTGGATAAGGGTGCTGTGGTTTTTTTTTTTTTTTTTTTTCTCCTTAAAACTTCACGCTTTTTGATTAACTCATCTGAAGGTCAAATGCAATCTGCTAGTTTTCATCACAGTTCTTAATTATTCTTAGTTTTATGCTTTCAGTTTGCAAGTAAGCATGCATATTGCAGATGCTGAGACCCAACAAAACTATTCCAAACTGTTCTGACAATCTCCTAATATCCCTGGGAAATCAGTCAGCACAAAATTTTAGGTTTCTTACCAGAAATATTTCTGATTTTATATTCTGAATGTATCTTAGGGTCAAGTTATGTATAAAATATTTTAAGTATAAATGAAAAAATATTCATTTATTGCAAAAACGCTTAATGGTTATGAAATAGAGCAGGCTGCCTACAGAGTTGTGGAAAACAGTACCTGAAGTTAAGTACAACAAAGAAACATCTGTCAGGAATGGTTCCTAACTAGAGCAGGTCCTGTTTTGGGGCAGTGCATTGGACTAGACTGCTTATTACAGAGTTTGCAACCCAAGCTGAAATCAGTCAACTTACTTAAAATCCTTACAAAGCCACCTATTTAAAAAAGCTGTCCATACATAGAGAAATAAATCAGCCCTAAAAGGTTTGTGAATTTAGCCATTTGTTTCTTTATGCTCCAACAACAGCCTTTCTGTGGTAATTTCCCTTTCACATAATGTTCTTAACGTACCTGAATGCAGTGCGATTAACATGCTTGTTCACATTTCCCCAATTTCAGCAAGTAAAATTAGAACATTAACATACATTGATGATTGTCTTAGTATACTCAACATCTGTCACCACACTATATTTTATTATTTTGTTTATCTAGAACTCTTGCGAGACCAGCTAAAGCATAATAGTTGGGTGCTTTACAAGATCTAGAATATCACCTTGCTTAAGTAAATGCTGCCTCTTGAAATGAAAGCATAAGCTTTTGACAACAATTAGCTTTGAAACAAAAAAGGAAATTGGGGAATTGGTATTTCCAGCTGCTAAGAACACCATGGTCTTAACTGCCATGAAAATTAAACAGAGATAATCACTATTGAGATCAGTGAAGACTGCATGGAGTCAGAGACATGGACGTGAAACTCCACAAGGTTGAGACATTTACAATAAATTAATCTTAATTCTACTTCATAAACAGTAGAACTCTATTCTGCAAGTAAAAATGAAGTGATAAGATTAAAAACACATGAAAAAAATGACCAAGTAAAATGAGCTGTAACACTCCAGTAAGAAGAGGCTCTCCTAGAAGCAGAACCCTAAAAATTTCTAAAGTTGTCAGGATGAACCGCCTATCCCACTAGCAGATACTTGCAACTGATAAAGTAAACCAAACATATAATTCCTTTCCTAAAGGAGTGGGTTTCACACCAGCTCAAATACCAAAGGCTGAGACAAACACACACATCTTTCAAGCCCAATAAGCTACTGAGGGTAAGGGACTGGAATTTACAGGAAATTTAAGAATTAACTCCAACACATTCATAAGATGCTTTAGAAAAAAATCTCCTACCTTCTCTGAGGCAGGGGAATTGAAACACTAAATTCACAGATTAACAGGTTCACCTGTTCAGATTTATGCAGTTTTTGTTTGTTTGGTTTTTTTTTTTTTTTTTGTTTGTTTGTTTTTAATAAAAAAAGTAAACATCATTTTGAAGCACTGGGATAGCTATTTTTAGTCCAGTAAGATTTCAGTAAAATAAATCTTCTCAACCTACCATTATTTTTGGTTTTAGATTATCAAAGGAACATAGCAATATTGAAGACTGTATTAAGTAAGTTTCATGAAGGTTTACTTTTCTAGAATTTAACTTCCTTTTACTGTTCATTACTTTACCCCCACCCCTTCAGTATGCATTCTTATTGGTTGAGATTTCATTTATTAACAATCACTATTGATTCATGCATTACTTTTCAAGCCTAAAATAATAGTCAATGCACAAACAGACAAATATTTAACTCCAACAGAACACTTACACTTCTCCCATGGGAGCATATGTTGAACCAGTTACAGTAAATTCATTCAGGGAACAGCTATCCCCTTCTACTCTGTCCAGGACAAACATCTGAAATTAGAGTTAGAAGTGTTACTAACTTTGAACAATAACTAATGCAAGAGATTTAAACAGGCCTTAAGCAAGCAAGTACAAGAAGTAAGTTCAAGTTGAATAAACAAGCTAGACAAAACCAGATATGATACTCTGCACTTCGATCTCATGTGTGTTTGAACAGCTCCCTATACTGAAGCACCAAGTACAGAAACAGCACTTCTGCTTAACAGATCTCATTTGAAAACGGAATTATGGCACAAGTTAATCAAAGAGTTGAAAACCACATAAACTATGTCCAGTTAACTTCAACTCACACATCCACTTGACAATCCTGACTATACCCAAGCTCTTCCCAGGCTTCAGACTCATGAATTAATTCTGATGTTTAAAACAGTAGTTCCAATCAGGAGCAGCACAGGGCAGCCTGGGCACTAACAATTCTTGCCAAAGTAAAAATAAAAGCATCTACAAACAGAAACTTCTAGATCTAAGAGGTGAGGTTTTAGGCAAGAGACAGATATATAGGCCAGTTTTCCTTAATACCAGCCACTAAGTGAAAGTGTTTCCTGTCCTGGTTTTTGAGTTAAGACATTCTACCATCCAGCACCCTGGTAGCTTAAAAACATTCAGACAGCTTAAGTGCCCTTCTAGCACAGGCTGAAATGTTATTTTTAAATAAAAACACCAATTTGAAGGATGCAGTTGTACTCCAGAAGATATCTGCATCTCAGTCTTTGTTTCTGTTTCCTTTCTAGGATTACTGCAGAACCACATTTGGGAAGATGGAGATAAACATAGTGCATGAAGCTGTCATACTCTTATGACTTGCTGGAGTGGTAGTCGAAAATAAAATAATTTTTCACTAATTGATAGTATATCTTAATGGAACTTCTTACCCATTGGTTAGTACAAACCATTTTGCCATATCATATTTTAGAAATGTCTTACTTCCCCCTCATTGTGCTGCCTTGTATTTTAGGCAAGCATCTTCACAAAACGCAGCCCAACAACTAGGTGTTCCACAACTGATCTGTATCAGTGTCTGGAGACCCTATAATCTTCAAAGTGATTTTAAAAATCAAAAAGCTAGACAGGCTGATAAATTAAAAGCCCACAAAACAGAGTAAGTGCATTCTCAGAGAGATATACCACCAGAAGATATTAAAACAACCCCTCAAGTCTCCTCCTAAAGCAGTATTGTTTGACTGAAACATTTTAACATAGGGTTCCTTTGAACACTCAGGAGTTACTAAACACTAAAACAAGTGGAATTACTGTTGTAAACCAGTCTTTTTAAGCTAAGCAATCTCTCTACTTCGAGTGAAACCAAGAATAAGTGTATTGTTTACAGGTACTAGTGTTTTGCTACATTTTGCAAAATTTTACCATGAAGGTGATTCTGTAGCTGTCAGAGGTTAACAAGGAACCAAGTAAGTTGTACTGCACAAGATCTAAAACATTTAGCCCTCTAAATATAAGGAGTAGAGCTTTATAACCTTTTAAATAAACACAACTTAAATGATGAGTTAACCAGGAAGCCTTCTGCTTTTGGCATCTGCATGATGAAAAAATCCCTGCAAAGACTAGGGCAGTTATGCAACTCTACTGCAAGTAACCTCCTCTGGCATACTGATGAGCAGCTGCTTTGTGTCTCTTAGGTATAAATACTACAATACTTAAGGAAGTAGAACAAGTCAACCACCAGTTAGGAAGAAAAAAGCCATCAATCACATGAGAATAGTGTTTAGGCTTACAAACTTTTGCCACTGGTGTGCAGTGCTCAACATTTACCCATTTGGAATTCTAACCCAATGTAATGGCTCTGAACATTTGATGTCATAGTGTTGCTATGCCACTGAACATCCACAATTGCTAAACAGAACTTAATGTTTTCTCCATAAAATTCCTACACAGAGTATCAAGTATACGGGAAGCAGAGAACTGCCAGCTGAACAGGCATTATGTCAAGTGACTAGGTATAAGAGACCCAAAAGAATTCTGGGGGGAAGGGAGGAGGGGCACATAATTTATGCCTATTTATGTCATGCATTGAAGATGACCCTGGCAACACTGGTGACAGGGTCAACTGTACCTCCAAGTTGCCAGATTAGCCACACAATATCGCACACTGAAAACACTACAGTGATCTACATCAGACCAATAAAAGCTCCTGAAGATAAGATAACCAAATAAAGGTGGAACCACTCAGTAGTGAAAATACCTTAGACTCTCCAAGCTACTGAAGTAAATCATCTACCTTTTTCTCATTGCTAAGCTTCTCCGTCATTATCCTCTTGCTAAATTAGAGGCAAGTTTTCTTACACTTACACACATCCTGCTTCTACAGTGTAACTATCCTACCTTTCTGAAACAGAGGATAAACCATACTAAGCAATTACCAGTAGACTGAATGGCTTACAGACAGGTCAATGGAAAGCTGCTTGCAAACAACTTTCTTTTCCATCAAGTGCGGGTACAGCTATTTTTGGCCATGACTAAATAAGGGAAGAGATAAAAGCCTTAAACACTACACAGTGGAAAACTGAATTAAAAGTGGAAGCTTATCTTAGGAAAATAAAGCAAGATTTTGATGATATGAGAACCAAAAGACTCAGGATCAAAAGAATTCAAGCAATGCTGACTATTCAGAGTGGCTGAGAAGAAAAATAGAAGCTAGTTCAACATACCCTGCAGACTGACATCTGATTCGTGGTCAGAGTACCAGTCTTGTCAGAACAAATGACTGAGGTGCAACCCAAGGTTTCCACAGAGGGAAGACTTCTAACAATAGCGTTCTTCTTGGCCATTCTCCGGGTTCCAAGAGCCAAGCAGGTGGTAATGACAGCAGGCAGACCCTCAGGAATAGCAGCGACAGCAAGGGCAACAGCAATTTTAAAGTAATAGATAGCACCTCGAATCCAGGAGCCACCGTGAACAGGATCATTGAAGTGACCAATGTTTATTATCCAAACAGCAATGCAGATAAGCGAGATGACTTTAGACAGCTGCTCTCCAAACTCATCCAGTTTCTGCTGGAGCGGGGTTCTCTCTTGTTCAGTAGCGACCATCTCATCACGAATTTTGCCAATTTCAGTGTTTACTCCTGTTGCAATAACCACTCCCATAGCTTTACCAGCAGCAATATTAGTACCCTAATGTATATAAAAACAGGGAAGAGAAACCTTGTAGTCAAACTATAAACATGTTTCAGTGGTGGATTTTTTTTCAATTTAAGAAAAAACATATTATACAAGCCCAGACTGTGTTTCAGCTAGGATATGGAAAAAGGTGAAGAGGAAGAAAATGACATTCCCCCAGTTTCTGTAAGAAAATACTTCAGTGTATAATTTCTGCTTACAGAATGGGCTCCAAATGAATCAGGATTGATCTATTATAAGCAGCATAGTCCAACTCAGCTGCTGAGTAAGCAGTATGTACTTCAACTGGAATCTTAAGTGTGGTTTTCCTTTCTTTATTAGGATTGTATTTTGCCAGATTTAATGTTATTCACTATGAGTAATAGATGTGTTCTGTGGGGCTCCTTGTGTGAACACACTTGACATGAGAAAGAAGCTAGATGTTCTACAAGAAGCCTACCAACAATAAGAGCATTGTTATTTTGTTATCTGAAAGGCATTCAATGCTTCCTTTAAACAAATTTGAATAAATTGTTTCATTCCTACGTAGAAAGCTGGTTCTCAATTTTAGCCACACAATACCACAGTTCGTATGGGCATTCTTATCAGTCTTAAAAACTATTACTTTAGAAAACTAGTGCAGAAGCACTTTATGAGTGCACATGCTCCAGTCTTCAAGAATTTGTGAAGCATAAAAAAAAAATTGTTTCCTCATATAAACTGGTTTTGACAAGCATCTTCCCTGAGGACAGCTTTTTATTAAGAGTTACTTCTAATTTTTAATTCATTTAGTTAAATGTACATGGAAACACACGTGATGTGTATAGAGAATACAGCAAAATTCATACAGCTTTTAGGTGAAGAGCTGAAGTCCTGCAGTTTATCAGCTTCAATATTATTTTATAAAAGTTTTTAAATTCCAAAACAAGTAACTTACAGAAAAAAGCATATTCTTCTTGTCTTGGTTTACAGCACGAGGATCAGGCACAGGGTCAGTATGCTTAATAACAGACACAGATTCACCTAAAATAAAGATAATAGTCTTAAAAAGAGATTATACATGTATCATCTTGAGTCCTATAGGGAAATGAAACGTTACAATCCTGAGTCCTAAAATTTTAAGATATCAAACTTCTTTCCTCAACTGATTTAAATGCTTATGTGCAACAGGAAATATTTCAGCTGACAAAAAAACCTGAACATCTGGTTTTTAATGAAAATAGTAAAGGACTTATGTAAACATTTTATTTCACTAGAATTAATGAAGCATACACCATGTCTTTTAAGAAAAATGAAAAATGGTCAAATAAGCAGCCCATACACCACTCCTTTTAACGTAGCAAGATCTACTGCATGAATTAGATATTTTGCATGCTTCTCATGCAGTAATGAACATTTCTGTTCTCTATGCACTGGAAGAGGTATGTCATCATTTAAATAATTAGACCTAACCACTCATACATCTGTGATGGTATACATCACAGTCATACTGGCAGACTAAGTGTCATGAATCCATCTGTTGGTTAACTCCTTTAGTTGGAAGTCTTCAGAGACTTCTTCTATAAAGACCTTAAATATATCAATTTCTATAAACTTGTCACACAGGCTTAGGAAGGTTTATTTTCTATAAAAAGAGATGTTAATTACTACATCAGATTTCACAAGATGGTAACTCAGTGACTGAAGCTAAGAGCACACTGCTTTTTGTAAGCTCAAGACAGCCAAAGCTTCATACTTTTAAAAGCTCTGTAAAGTAGCATCTTAGACTTCAGTCCTACTTTATTAGTTAGGACACTCAAGCATCAACTTAAAATAGGCTGAAAACAAAAAAGATTCCATTAAAAAAAATAATTCCGTTAAATAAACAAAAGGCAATGAATTATTCCCTTTATACAGACTTCTGGTGGATTTCTTCTACTTATTTCAGTTCTGATAGGTTGATGAGCATGGAGTGCCTACATTTTCTTAAGCTAAACGTAAGTAAGCTTGATTAGTTCTATTCTATTCAGGATACGTACTGAGAAACTTTGGGGCCCGTTTCACAGATTTGAGAATTAATAATAGGTTTTTCTTATGAATACTTCACTGTTTTAAAATTCAGGGCTAGTTAACATTAATTTATGCTACCAAAACAGGCAGACAGATCTTAATGTTCCAGCTGAGAGAAAACCGTTATACCATGCTTGGTTGATTCCTAGCTTCTTTCCTATATTCAGAAGCAGTGCTTCTTTGTTTTGTTTTCAACAAATCAGAAAAAGTGCTCTAAATATAGCTCCTGCATTTGAGAGCCAGTACCAGAAAACACATGAATGTGTGCATAGAATTTCAGCAAATAAGGTTTTAGCCTACTGAGTCTTATACTAATAGCAGTTTAAAAGCTGCCTGTATTTCAAAACTTACTCTCTCAGGAGAGAAAATGGGTAACTGTTACAGAAGATATTTAGTAAGTTTTCCATACTTCCATACTTGAGCAGTGACAAGATGTTCAAACCTAGAAGACTGCATAAATTAGAATAGGAATTCTTAATTTTTTAGTTTAGTTTCCCCACAAGTTACCAATGTGTGTCTCTTGGAGGGAGCAGGTAGAAGAAAGACCAAAAAAGCATTACAGGTCTCAGTAAGAAATTAAACATGTAAAGCCAATGACGAAGCAACACATTCAGCCGCTCTGAGAGTTAAGTGACTAGATCAGAAATTTACTGCACTTGAATGCAACACAGTACTTTAATAGCTACAGGCTTGTTTCCAATGGATTATTCTAAACAAACAGTGAAAAGGCACTTTCAATTATGCACATAATTATCCAAAATTCACAGAAATTATACCTGTGAGAATTGACTGGTCTACTCTTAGCGTTGTAGATTTGATAGAAGTAATTCTTATATCAGCAGGAACCTTGTCTCCAACTACAAAGAAAAGAACAAGACAAAAGTTAGAATTTTGTTATTTGAGAGATTTCTAACTAAGCGTAGTACCTCTATCAGCCAGGAAAATGATTTTCCAGTAACTGTTCAGATGACTAAGATTACTAACAGCTTATGACTGCTTTTGTGGTTTGCAATACTCCAGTTTTCTGAGTATCCAATATACTTCAGCAATTTAGATTTGCCTTCAAGATCTTTACCCCCACCTAACCTCAAAGAAAGAAGTTGTAAATCACTGGATTGTTTCTCTAATCACATGACTACCACTTGACAGCAAAGGGAAAACATTCTCAAGAGAAGGATATCAATTTCAGAATACGTATTTATAAATAATCAAAACCTGTAGCTAAAGTGAACTAAGTTTCCTTTTCAGAACAACCGTCCTGGAAAGTCTTATGTCTGTTTTCTCTAAGCCCAAGGCCAGTCTTCCTCTGTCCAACAATCAGAATGTTATCCACATTTATTTATTTAGAAACTAGAAGAAGTTGTACTTTCCTTTTTTTTTTGGCACCAATTGTGAGAATAACATGCTTCTGCAAATCTGCTCATTTAATGTTATACTTTGAATACTCCCAGATGTTTCAGAGCTGGAAATTAATTTCAGATCATACACTAGCTTAATTTTTCAGTAATGCTGCTCTATTGAATATACCACAATCCATAACCCAGTTAAAATTTTCACAGGACTCTATGCTATGTTTATATTGTCATACATATTTCTACTTTGCAGAAGACAACAGTGGAGAAAAAAAAACAAAAAAAGAAACAAAAAAAAAACCACAAAAGCAACCCAGAAACAAATAAAAGAAACCTCCACTGTCAAGTGTTTGAGACACCAAAGCAGACAATACAAGTTAACAGCACACTCCTAAAGATGGCAGAGTAACGAAATCAGCTGCCAGAGCTGCATGGCCAGTTTAGCTCCAGCATCTCTATCATCCCAAAATTAATTCTTCCACCTTCCTACTTTCTCTTATCTAGCTTTTCCTAGTTTTTAAGAACTAAAGCTCCACCATTTTGTGACTACTGCAAATAAATGGCTGCATGCAAATTAACTTGCTAAAGCATACTAATGAGAGTCACATTTCTGACTCATATGGGGGGGTGTCTACATTCTGCATGTCAATATTGCTAAGACTGCATATAATAAAACATTCCTAACCTAAGTTAGCACTGCAAGTATTCAAGCACCAACTTCATTTTTATTATAAAATAATGCAAAGAAACAAAGGGAGAATATCTAACTAAAAGGAGCTCATCATCTCAGTAGATGGACTCTGTGTCCCTGCAGTAAAATTAAAACAAGCTGCAATTCCTGCAGGAACTGCTTATGCAACTAACAGCAATAATGCACATTAACAAATAATACCATGAAAACTCAGCAGTGGTGCTACAGCCTTAGAGCACACAACCACTCACACGGGAAAACTATGGAACAGAATGATGAAGAGGAGAATTAAGTGCTGCTTTAAATGTTAAGTAAACTTGCACCATGTCACTTTTTATAAGGTCAAAGAAACCCCAACCATTAAAACCAACAAAAGAATGCTTAGTTTTGCTTGTAGACTTAAAACGTGTTTTTCTAAGCATATGTATATGAAGGGACCCAATAAATAGCCACAAATTCCCTTTTTGTATCATTATAGCATGTGAAAACTAATTTAAGACCCAGTGCCCTTGAGCAGCAAGAGAAAATAGCATTAGACAAACGGTGACCTAGGCCAAAAATGGCAAAACTATTCAATATGCTCTCCTGATGTCATGGAGGTTTATATGCAGACATATAGTAGCAGCTGGTTTTCAGATATCACTGAACAACAGGCTAATACCTCAGTGCAATGTGGTGTAACGCCTGTCAATCTGCATAAACATTTTCAAAGTACTTAAAGCAGCTGGAAAGCTACAGTCAACTTAAATACACTACCTCATTCGACAATGCTGTTAAAGACTTAATCACTCCCTAACACAAAAAAGAAGCTGTTAAAAAAAATAATCGTAAAACATTCAAATAACTGGACAGAACCTATGGTAAAGTTTACAAGTAATTTTCCAACCTACTTCTGCTGAACAACTTAGAGCTGTTCAAACTCAAACATAATATTCACAAGATCTAAATTACTAGGAGAAACCCCTGCTCTAATAGACTACTGATACTTGAGCATCAGTATTTCCATGAGAACTACTGCTATCATTATCAGTTGCCTGAATCACCAGAACTGAAGCATTAAATTTACTATGCTACTGCAGCTTTCTAAGTTTATCTCAACAATTTAAGGTAAGACACATTATTCACTCACCACCTCTGTTTGAGAACGCTGCAGTAAAATATTCAAGGCATTTCCAATAGCCAGGAAAGCTGTACACCAGGGTCAATTACAGAATTATTTTAAGCCTCTCTTTGCAAAGTAACAGCTATGACACCAAGTCATTTATAGTCTTCAATATACTTTCATGAGCATAACTGAAACTAAATAGGAAATCATCCTATCATATATATGAACCCACAGGAAATTTTTAGTGAGCAGTCTAATGCAGATCTCATCTACGACTAGAAGGCTTTTTTCCATATAACTTAACACAGGAAAGAAACTGGGAGGGTTTTGTTTGTTTGTTGGGGGGGGGGGGGGGGGGGTGCAGCTTTTAAAATTCAGTTACGTTTCAGTCCACAGAACCAGTTAAAGTATTACCAAAGGCTTGAAAGACAACAAGAAATTAGGTGAGTATGTATTTGTGTTGCTCAGTACAGAGCTGATACAGTCTAAATGGATATAATCCCATAGTTTTACGTCTAAAATAGGAAGTCAGCTGCAGAAGTATTTTAATCTGTTATTTTAACTAAAGTTTTCTCAACCTAAATAGTCAGTTGATTTCTACAACAGTCCTGAAGAGATCACATAAGCTGCTTTCAAAACTGCCCAAATACATGTTCTTAAAGCATAGTCTAGGCAAATAACTAACTACAGAGTAAAAGAGCCCTTCTAACTAGAAGATTGACTGCTGCTTGGAAGAGTGAGAGCAGGGGTTGGTTCAAATCATTACAGCTTTATTCATAGAATCCTTTTATTCATACAAAAAATAGGATAAGAGTCCTCAAAACAAAACTACTACTTTAAATGTGTACTTTGAACACTGTTATCTGCTCTCTTAACTGCTCTGATCCCTCCCACACAACTGAAGACTTCTTAAGAGGAGGTTTACAGACAGATACATTATAAAAAGTGAGAAGTTTTGCTTCCTTTTTGTTAGCGTGTTACAAGAACAATTCATCTTCTTAGCAAAGTATGTGATCTGTTTGCAAAATGCCCATCTAAGTGATCACAGTAAAGGGAAGTAATTTTTCCTGTACAAGTCAGAATGGCTGTTCATATACAGCATGTACTCAATGCTTTCTTATTCGTGTTTATCATTAACCAAAGCTAGTGTCAACCTATACCTGCTATCAGCAGGCTGGGGTTGGAACTGGACCTTTGAAATAAAGATCATCAGTAGAGCTCTAAACTATTCTGCCCCTGTTGTCTAATTTTATAACTTTTTTAAGGCAAGTTCTGAAGAACTGGGATATTATTTCAACATATGGTTGAATAATTCAGGAACACAAACAACAGCTCCTGAAAGTGAGTAAAATCACCCCCAAAACAACCTCCATAAAACATCAAATGGAGAGAACAACAGCAACAAAGTATAAAATTGTGTTGTTTCACCCCTTTTAAGTGTCTTAATAGATCAATGTTCATTGTTGACACATTCCATGTATTCTGATTTTTAAGACACTGGTCCTTCTGCTGTATTAGGATACTCTAATTCCAGGCTAGGGTAGAAATACTATCAAATTCAGCAGATATAACCTATCACACTGCTATTAAAACATCTCTGATTCCGATTCAAAATAAACTATGCATGGGGTTTTACCATCAAAAGGGAAAAGGAGTAAGTATTAATTATTTTGCCAAAAAACATTAAGATTTAGCAACTATTTTCTTTAACTGTTTGAACATTATTATTATTACAGGTACAGTCATTCAAACCACTTTTCCTAATGAGATCTTTAGCCTCTTAGAAGTTCAGTTATTTCAAAGTTCCCTCTCTTGCCCCAAAAAGTTTCTTATCCTCTAAATTATAGGACACGCCATTGTGTGAATATTCACTAGTAAACTGAAGCAAATGAAAACTCCTACATGAAGTGTGGGTATCACCTTAAGGTTTAAGAATTTAAATGAATAGGCTTAAAATAACATATATGGGATGCTACGTACTTTGAACAACCAGAACTGAGTATTGTTTCTGCTGGGGGACGGTAACAGTTAAAACTTACACCTGAGCAGAATGGACTGATTCTGTTTAGAAGTATAGCTGTTGAGGCACAATTTTTTATATTAAACTTCTTTAACATGAACTCAGCTTAGCCCCTCTGCCCCCCTTGCATGCTTACAACCTAGTCTTCTTATTGTGTTTGATTTCCTTAGACCACCAGAAACTTCATTTTTCTTCCGCAGTAACAGGCCTTAAGCATTTAACACTTCCTGAACAGGGTATAATAAGATGCTACCTAAAATCAGAAGCTCTACAAAACAGGAAGGTTGAGTCCATCTACACTTTTATACAAGGCCAAGAGTGTCAAATTGTCAAAATTACAAGAGTGACTACAAAACATTTTAAGTCTGAGTTTCTACTCCAAACCAGCAAGATAGATTTCTTTTCCAACAAGATTATAATAGCACTGGTCCATTCAGTTTAGTAACCATACTAGTGAAACAGCATTTACTTTTACTGCCAAGGTGATAGAACAATACATTCAAATACATTCATTCTTTGCGTTTATGATGCATGCTACACATTAGACAATGTTCATTAAATAGCCTTCCCTATCGTACGCTGTTCTGCAGTCTGGACAGACAGAAAATATCCACAGACCTTCCTGTACAGTCTATGCAGAAGTGTGATTATCCTAACCTAAGTAGTTAGAGGTAGAAGTTAAAAAAAAA